CTTGAAAATGTCAAAGCAGCTCTCCCTGGCGGCACAGCGGGCTAGGGTGCAGCACCATGAAGCTGGCCGCAGCCGCTTCAGTGTGAGTTCGATCCCCGGCCCCGGAGGTGACCCACAGGGCCCAGCAGACCTCTCCTGACCCACCTGCTGCTCCCTCAGCAGTGTACTTCATCGATCTGCCTGTTCTGCTCCCCACTGTCTCTGGTGAATCCTCTCACCGCCCCTGCAGCTCTAAACTGTACCCCAGTTCTGTGTGTATAAATAAATAAATCTTAAAAAAGAAAAGGTAAAAGCAATAAAAACACTTACCTTGAGTGGTAGTAACGATGTGTGACACCATCGAGAGTGACCCAGGGAATCAAGCCCCACCCTTTGCTACTAGGATGGTTAACTCTGTGTCAGTTTAGTTTGGTTCTGACACCTGATCGTTTAGACAAATGCCAGCCCAGATGCTGCCATGAAGGTAGCTTTTTTTTTTTTTTTAAGATAAGATTAATATTTAAATCAGTAGACTTGGGTTAAAGCAGATTGTTCTCCATAATGTGGGTGGGTCTTGTTCAATCAGTTGAAGGTGTTAAAAGCAAAGAGTGAGAGTTCCCAGAGAAGCCTCTCCTCAAGACTGTGACAGAAACTATTCTCAAGCCTGCACATCAATTCTTTCAAAATTCTGGCTGGCCAGCTGGCCCGCTCCACACATTTCATAGCTGGTGGTAGCCTGGAAGGCTTTGCAGAACGCCCTCCCTCATTCTGATACCTATGGTAAGTCCTCACTTAATGCCATCTACAGTTCTTGGAAACTGACTTTAAGCAAAATAATGTATAGCAAAAGCAGATCCTAGAAAAACCACCAACAATGGGCCAGTGTTTCTTTGTTCTCGTCAATGTTGTGATGGTCAAGGGCCTATAATAGACGTTGAATGACTACAAAGCTCAAATCACCTCCCCCATGTAACAGGCCAGTCCTGCTTCCTCTAAGGGAAGTCTTACAGGGTCCAGGCTTGCTGAAGACCAGCTTTAACTGAGGTAGTGAGCGTCTCCTGCAGGAAAGGACGGCGTCAGGGAAGGAAAAGAGAGAACGAGAAAAAAGATGAGGTAGAAAAATGAGGAGACGCAGACACCTGTGTAGGGTGAAAGCATCTTCTGCCGATTGACCCAGTGGGTCTTTATTTATACATTACAAGCAAGCAGTGGGATGACATCAGTGTGTGCAGAAAGCAGAAAGTTTAACAATTATCACATTTCTCTTAAAGACAGCTTGGGACTTTTTGATCTCTTATTGAGACTGTGATGTTCATCATTCATTAATAAAAAGTACAATTGATACATAAGATGTTCCTATAGTGACCAGTCATTAATAAAATATTCCTATGGTGATCAGTCATCAAACAAAATAATTCCTATAGTGATCGGTTATCAAACAAAATATTCCTGTGGTGATCAGTTAACAATATACAAAATGTTTCTATGGGGATCAGTTAGCTATTACAACGTAAGCAATCATTTTGTTAATATCTCAATGAACAGACATCTTAATGGTACAGTCTAATGTTAAGGAGCTAGGAGTCAGAAAGACACTGACATTTTCCTGTCCCTAAGGAAAAATTTTCTTATCAATAAAAGGAGCTTCTCTTAATCACTATTTCTGCAATTGTTCTATCAACCTAGTCTCTATATCTATCATAAGAATTAAGGGAAAGTTTCTTTCTTTATGGTCACTAATTACTATCCTTATCTAAAAAAAAAAAAACTTTCTATGTGGAAAAAAAAAGGTTGAGGTGAAAGTTAAAGAGTAGGAAAACTTATTATTATTTATAATTTTATTACTTGAAACGAAACTATGTTACTTAAAACTACAGATCTTTTATTGGGGACTGGGCAGGAAATTATTGCAGCCTTTCTTTGGCTCCCAGAATTCTTGGACCGTGACATGTCACTCGTTATTGTGGGACCTAGATTTGTGCCAGCCCTCTCAAGCAGAGGAATATTAATTGTTTTACAACATACTGTGCCTTTCTGTGTACAATGCTATTGTTATCGAACCAATCAACCCAATCAAGTAATTATTGATTTAACGTTGAATGGAAAATGGAAAATTGCTATGCTTCTTGGGAACGGCCAAAAACAAACCATACTTCTTGGAAGTGGCAATAAACAGATGAAAAAACCCCAGGAGGAACCAGCTGTGGAATATCCTGACTTTCAGGACTTTTTCCCCCACGTCAGGACCTTGTTATACAATGTGGGTAGCCTGGCCCTCGCCACAGGCTGAGTGGGAAGTGAGATAATGCTGCCACCCCAGAGCAGAACTGGGTGGGTGGACTGGCCAGAGACCCCTTTCTAGGAGTGGGGACTAACCGCGCTGTGAAATGTGTTGGGAAAAGACTCTGCCCTGCTGTGGCATGCGGACACAGGAGACCATCCTCGTAAGCAATGAGTTTGCAATAGTTATGCAAGACCTTTTGCCTGCAGGTAAATCTGTCTTGTCACTACCAGCAAATATGACCAAGGAACTGGAAAAAGATTAATGCGATGCTGGGTCCTCGTCACCCCTACAGTGCATTCTTGAGAAAGGAACAAATTAAATCCCAGCACTGCTTCTCTCTGCACAATAGATCTGGTCAAGGAATCTTTACTCCAAATTACTTAGTATCAGAAGAACTTCCTGTTAATGGCCGAGACTCACTGTTCTTACGATACAGTTGAAATTCAAACTCGTATTTCTTAGGGCAGTTCTTACAGAATAAAATCTGCCAGCCTGCTTCCTGGGTTGGAATCCTTATTTTGCTTATCTAATAAATTCTGTGGCTAACTATTGAGGCTTTGTTTCCAGTTAACAGGGACCAGAGGGCAGGCTCTGCTGGGCTAGAGGGGAGAGAATGAGCTGGAAAGGGCTGGGGGCACTCCAGAGGCTGAGCAGGGGGTGGGCCACCAGATCACCCCTACGAGGAAGACACGGAGGCCCAGAGCTGTCCCCCAGTTAGTGAGGGGCAGAGCTGGACTTGACCCCGGGTTTGCCACATCCAAAGGTCACGCACTTCACTGCCAAGCTCGCAGCGGCTTCTGCATGGCGGATCATAATCACTCCCATATCCCAGGGCTGTTGAGAAGATTAAATGAGTGAAGAGCCGGGAAAGTCTTTGAGGAGCTCCCGGCTCTGCTGAGGAAGGGCCCAGCCCACACCCAGCCCAAACTCTGTATTAGCAGCAGCTCTCTGGTCCCGGGGTCACCTGTTTTTATCTTCTGACAGCCATCTGGTATTACCTGTCTGCTTCTTTCTTTCCAAATGTTTGCGACATGATACCCTCAGTGAGCTCCTGGTCCCTTCAAGGCAAGCCCTGAGATGACCGATTCTTCCAAGGCCGAACTTGGAGACCCCAATACAGGATCATTGGGGAACAGCCCAGGGGAGCCCCTCGCCGCCCAGGTTCTCTGGCCCTACGCTGGGCAGGAGCAGGAATTGCGGGTGTGGGGGTGCACATTCAGCTGTCAGTGTCCGGAACTGGCTTAGCTCCCTGCCCCTTGCTGCCAGGCCCCAAAAGGCACCATGAAGCACCTCTGGCTCTTCCGGGCCCAGGGAGCAGCCTTGATGTGGGAGACCTCCGGCCCCGAATCCACCAACAGCTGTGGCCACTTCAGCTATTTTAAACCCTTTGGGCGCCCGAAACCCAGGCCCTGGGGCCCCACACGCAAGGCCCTGAGCCAGGGGCAGGAGCCCAGGCTCCTGCTGTGGGTGGCGGGAGCAGTTGGATGTTTTCAGGGGTTTGAGTGTTGCTGGCCTTTGTTCTCATTGCCCCCGGCTGTCCTCTAAGTTTCCATGTTGTGATCAGTTCATGCAAGAGAAGGAACAGGAGGCCCCACTGGCAGGCCGGATGGCCCAGGGCTCCCTAAGGCAGGGCAGGGGCTGGAGCTTGTGTTTCCTCACCCCGACTTAAGAGACAACATGTCTCCTCTGCACCATCCCCTTACCCTCTCCCCTCCCGCCTTCCCACCTTCCCTCTAGGTCCCATTCCTGCCAGAGTTTGAGACCAAAGCAGATTCACTTTCCTCATCTGCAGTGTGAAGGGTCCCGGGGTGGACATCCTCCTCTAACCTGAACAGGGAAAGGCTCAGCCAGCCGGGGGCAGCCTGAGAAAAGCACACTAGTGCCCTCCACTCTCACCCACCTCGGCCCTGCAGCCCCCTCCTGCCCCCCCAGAGGCTGGGGCCAGAACGGGCCCTCCACGAGGTCTCCAGAGGCCACCCCACCCCTCTGCTCCACCTCAGTGCGGGTGCCCCAGTCTTAAGCTCCTTCCACCCTGGGGTCACCTTCATCATGCCAGAACGGCCCTGGCACTCCCAGGCCTGACCACTCCTCCGGAGGCAGCCATGCTCCCAGCGCCCACCCACCAGTTCCTGCTGGCCCGGCAGACTCCTGGGTTCCCCACTCTCACACCCTCCCCCATTTCGCACCGGTAATGCCAACCTGACTGCTGGTAAGGGGAGGGAGGCCTGGCTCCCCGCTCTCTGCTCTCTCCTCCCTCCCCCGCCACTTTGCAAGCACCTCCTTCCAGGAGGGCCGGTCAAGCCCAGCCTGGTCAAGCCCAGCCTCCGGAAGCTCCCGGACCCCAGGCTGGGTGAAGGCACCCGCACCCCGTGGGCTCGCACCACCTCCGGGGCCCTCATCTGGCAGCTCTTGCGTTATCTGCCCTGCTAGGCTGGGGGCGCCGGGAGGGGAGACTGGCCTTTCGTCCGCGCTCCCATCACCCATACGGGTGCCTGCTGAAGGTTTGCTGCAAAAATGAGTAAAAACCAGCCGTGGAAAGGAAACGCAGTTATTACATCACCCCTACCTCGCGGGGGGGGGGGGAAGGGAGGAGGAGATGGGGAGGAGAAGTGGGGCTGGGGGAGGCGTGGTCACCCTGACGGACGGGCCCGCCGCCCACTGGGAGGGGAGGCCTGTTGCCCCGCCCACCGCCCTCGCCCCGCCCATCGGCGGCTGGATAAGGGCGCGCGGGGCTGCGGCCGGCAGGGAGGCTGGCTCTGGCGCACCTGCTGCAGGTGCGTCTGGCGGACCTGAACTTGCAAGGGGCGCGCCGGGCCCGCACTGCCGAGAAGATGCGCGAGCGCACAGTGCGGCTGCAGTACGGGAGCCGCATCGAGGCGGTGTACGTGCTGGGCACGCACCTCTGGACCGACGTCTACAGGTGAGGTGGGCGCTTCTGCAAGGGCCGGCACCCCCTGAGACCCCGGGAGGGCCTGAGGCCGCACCCCTAGCCAGCTGGAGACCTTCGGGAGCACGGACTCAGCTATCCTTCCTCCAACCGAACTGTAGCTCATCCAGATGCCCCTGCGCCGAAAATCCAAAAATCCTGCCGCTCACTCAGAAACCTGATAACCTCTAAATCTTTTGTCATTCTCCCCAAAGTCCCGAGACTCTCCCAGATACCCCGACACAGCCCCCTACTGCCCGAAGGCTTTCCTGCCACCCTCTCCCCTTTGGCTTTGCTGTTCTCTCCTCCCTTCTCCCTGAACCCCCTGACTCACCGCCCACCCCAAGATCATCTGAGCTTCCTCCCAGGGTTTGCTGGGGGCAGGGGCAGAGAGAAGTTGCTGAGGCAGAGTCCCACCTTAGGGGGTACTCAGGCTCCTGTTTCACCCTATGGGAGCTCCGGTGTTGCTTATCCCCAGCACCAGCCAAAAGCCTTGTCCCCAACTGCCTTCCCCTAACTTCACGCTGGGGTCAGGGAAGGACTTTGGTCCACCCACTCAGGGCCTCGGACAGGATGGGCTGTGGGGTCTTTGAGAAAAGAGCCTGATTCAAAACCTGTTCCTCCCTCCCTGGCTCCGTGCCTCAAACTTTGTTGGAGTGCAGGATTTCTGAGACAGCAGGACTCATGGGGTGGAGGATGGAGATCAGCCCCCAGGAAGTGGGGACATGACTATGACCTTGTGGGGGGGGGTTCAGGGAGGGGGGCAGGCCTGGGAAGGTGTTTGGTGTGAAGGGAGGAGCGGAGAGAGCCCCCTCTTGCATGCAAGCGTTTGAAGTGTTCCGTGTTGCTGGAGTGGGAGGAGCTGTGTTGAAAGGAGGGAGCGAGCTGCAAGACTGAAGCAGGGCCCTGTGCTGACCAGCCTGGGCAGGGCCTCTGACCTCCCTGTGCCATGCACTGAGCTGGTGCCCACATGGTTCACTGCTCCTATGGCCTCAACGTCTGCAGTGCCCCCACGCCCCCACCAAGCCCCAGCCCTGTCTTCCCACACACCCTCTCAGCCAGTTCCCAGTCACCTCCAGTGGCCCGGGCAGCCCTGCCCAGCCAGTTGCCTGCCTCCCCCGCAGCCACTGGCCACTCTGATACCATCAAGCCCCAGCCTCCTTCCCCGAGGGCAAAGGCCCAGTTGGACCAGGGGCCTGTCCACTCGCCACTAAGAGCTCAGCTGTCTGTGTGCCAACCTCGGGAATAACTGTGGGGTGATGACACAGCCATGGAATGGGGTCCAGGCCTCAGTGGCCTGGAGGGCTCCGCACCCCTCCCACCCCCATTCTGAACTGGGCACTGTCAGGGAGTGGCGGGAGGCCAGGACACTCAGGGCTCTAAGCCTCAGCTGTCACTACACCCGCCTGTCTGTTTGCTGGGGCACTTTGGTGCAACCCCAAGGGGGTGGGGAATAAAGAAGGGGGTCATGCTCCAGCCTCCCTCCCCTCTGTCCTGGCAGAGAGGCCCAGCCTGGGGTGGGGGGAGGGGGAGGTAGACTCATCTTCCCTCTGGCGGGGGCAGAGATGTGACCTCTCCTTTGTCCTTTATCAAGACAGCGGGTAGCCACACAGGGGTGGGGGGGAGCCCCACCCCCCCACCTGCACATCCCTTGATGCCACCACCCCCAGTTCCATCCCCACCCCAAGAACAGTGCCTCTAGTCCCACAGAAAGAGAATGGGAGTCGCAGACAGAGCCATACGGGCAGTTTTTAATTTTCTTTCCTTTGGTGGTTTCAAATAAACAAGTGGAATCAATTTTAATAATTTATTTAACCCAAGATGCCCCAAATTTTAGCATCTCCATAAGGAATCGATTCAAAAAGTATCAATGAGATGAGATAGTTTACAACTCCTTTGCATTCCGAGTCTTGAGACATGTGTGTTTTAGATTCTTAGCGCATCTCAGTGTGGACTGTCTGATTTCTGGTGCTCAGTGGCCCATGAGACCAGAACACCGTAGGTCAAGAGCACTTGAGGCCAGAGAAGTCTTTGTGGGGGGGGGGGGCTGTCCTGTCATTGCAGGGTATTTAGCAGCATGTGGCTTCTAACCTCCAGAGGTCACTAGCAGCCGCCCTGTGTCCTTCCCTACCCAGACTCAGGTCCTGCCCCCAGGGTCTCCAGGAGACACCAAGAAGTGAGGCCTGGGGGCCCAGGCCCAGGTGGGGAGCAGTGTCTCGGCCCCCCACTCTTGAGTCACAAAGCTGAGTGAACACCCACCTCCGCCAGACCCCCCTCACTGAGATGCACGCGGAAAGGGCCTCCCACCACCCATCTAGCAGGCCCTGTGGCCCACCCCTCCCCCAGCCAAACTAGGCCTGAGCCAGCCCCGTGTTGAAAGCTGATCATCTAGGAGCAGATGCCCAGAAAGAAGGAAGTAGAGTTTTTTCTGGAGATCAGCTTCGCGATAGTGGGTAAAAACACTTGTTGTTTCCTTCTTCTGCTCTTGACATGCTTGTGTTAGGCGTGGCCCAGACGCCCCGTGGTCCTGGGGCTGACGGCCACTTCCCCCCGGACAGGCCTGGGTCCCCATCTGCTTCTGGCTTGACATCAAAGAGAAGCACAGAGTGGATGGCCCCTTGTCTCTCACCTCCAACGGGTCATGTCTTCCCTACACTGGGCCCAGGGGATGGGTCAGGGAGCAGGAGCTAAAGTCATGGGTGATCGCACTCTGCCCAGCTCTCCCACTGACCCACAGACCAGGCTGTGGGGGCAGCTCTCCTCCACCTCCCTGGGCTAGCGCTCCAGGGGATCGGAACTGTCCATGAGGCAGATGCCCGCTGCTCCCCGATGGGCAGAGTGGTCAGTTCCTGAAACCGGAAGTCTACAGGAGCAGCGGGCAGACAGGGAGGGGGTCAGGATTGTCCGGACTCTGCAGAACAGTGTCCTGCTTACATTCGATCACACGACGAGCCATAGGTGCGACATGGGAGTGGTCCTGTGTCCCCTTCCCCAGAATACCCCAAGGCAGAGTCCGAATGGCCATTTATCCCAGCAGGGCCTTGCCCATCACTCTCTGGCAGAAGGTGGAAGAGGGGATCGGGTTAGTGGTTCCCACACATTGCAATGAAATCCCAGGCAACCCAGAATGGCACAGATCATAACACACCCCAGGAGTCAGACATGACTATCGGCCTCTTTCTATGGACGGAGAAACTGAGAGAAGGGATATTTGTCCAAGTTAACACAGCCGGTAAGTGAGGGGTACAGCCCAGCCACAGGCAGCTCTCCCGGCTGCCTTCAGGGATACATAGGCATGTTCTCGCCAGCTCCCAGCCCTCTGTCTACAGCCTGCGGCGGATGGGGCTGCCTGGATGAATGAGTGAGTGAGTGAGTGAGTGAGTGAGTGAGTGAGTGAGTGAGTGAATGAATGAATGAGGTGTGCTCAGTGATGCATGTCAACAGCCTTTCCCAGGCTGAGCTTTCCACCCCCAGCTTTAAGGGACGGCACCCCTGGAAAGGCCAGCAGAAGGTCAAGGGCATGTGGCCGAGTTTAGCTAGAGCAAAACCTCAGAGAGTGATGGTGGGAGGAATCAGGCCAGGTCAGGTGGCCCCATAAATTAGAACACCCAGCACCCTCAACCCTAAAAAGGAGGGCCTGCCAGGAGCCGCTCTAGGACTTGGGTTTCAGACTCTCCCCCCACAACCACCCCGCCCCCCCCCGGGCAGGGCTCCAAGAAGGACCTGGCATCCTGTGCACAGCTGGGGTCCCTGCGAGCTTTCCCTCGCTGCCCTTGGGGGGCAGAGGGTCACACAGTGCTCACCCCTCGGCTGGACAAGCACACCTGTTAAACTTTGGGGAGAGGCAGCTCTGTTCTGCCTGGCCGTGCCAGAGCCTGTGCCCAGGGGCTTTGCCCAGCCTGCTTGTCGCGGCCACACATGGGGCCAGGCAAGAAGCCAGCCTTGGGTGTCCCCTCTCTGGGTCTCTGACTCCTACCTGTAGGGGTTCTAAATCTTCCTAAGTGTTTTTCATTGGATTCTCGCGCAAGCCAGCCCTCCGCCCACCCCTGCTAGGCTCCCCTTCCTGGAGTGCGGCCCCTGGGGGACCCTAAGCCCAGGAGGGGAGCAGCTAGAGCTTGAAACAAGAGTTCCCCTCCCATCCTGACAGTCCATCCCGCAGATGGAGCAAGGGGTGCTGGGGTCTTCGGTGTGCTCATCTGGAAATGGGGTGATCTGGACAGTCCTCAGAAAGACGACACCTGGCAAGGCATAAATACTCAGCAAGTAGTTATCAAGAATTAGTACTGGGTTTATTATGTTATTAAAGTTAACAGTGGGGCATGTTCTCAAAGAACTCATAACCCTCATGAGAGAGAAAACTCCTGACCAACTGTTAAGTGTCGTTTGAGGCAGTGGCAAAGGGAAGAGCTGTGGTTGATGGGGCCGGGGAGGGCTTCCTGGAGGAGGCAGCAACAAGTGGATCTTGAAGGATGAGCAGGGTTTCATGATGAGACCAGGGCCTGCCTCAAGGGCGCAAAGGTGCCTGGCAGCAAAGCTGGGGCGCAGGGGTGTGGAAAGGACCCAGTTTCAGTGGGCTGAAGTAGGTTAGAGGGTCGGTGGTTCCACCTGGACCCTTGAATGCCAAGCCCAGGCACCTGGCTTTGTTCTGTAGGCCGTGGGGAGTCATTGAAGGTGTCTGGGAAGGGAGGCATGGATTAGACAGCTTCTTCCCCAAGGAGAGGGCCGGGAAGCTGGAGGCATTCCCGTCTCGTGGGAGAGGCCGCCGAGCTGCCCAGGACACAGGCCAGCAGAAGGCCTGGTCATGCTTTGCCACTGGTGCTCCCTCAGGCCCCAGCCCCCACGCTGCCAGGTGTGAGGCCGGGCCTCCCCCAAGGCCATGCGGGTGCTCGCCACCAGGGTACATGCAAGCTGACACCCATGACCCCCCCTCAAGCTCCTGCAAAGACCCGAGGGCAGTCACAGGATGCCAGGAGCTGGGGTCACCATGGGGGTGACCCCCAGCTGGTGTTAATAAGGCCCTGGCAGGTGGACAAGCTGACAGCCAGATGCCAGCTGGGAGCAAACGTGTCAAGTCTGGGGCTGAGTAATTCCCAGGTCGGCCGGGCAGGCCGGAGCTCCTCCCCGCTGACTGAGCCGAGACCAGAGAGGCTGGCCGCCATCCCAGAGGCCAAACAGCACTGGCGGGAGGTGGCGCAGATGTGCCATCACCGACTGCATGTCTGACGCTGCTGTCCTGTCTCTCTGAAGGCTCCTTCGAGTGGCGCCAGCTGATCAGCCATTTCTCTCTATTGCCATGGCCCTGCCTGCCCCCACACTGCCATCACTGCTCCCCTGGATAGCTGTAGTCACCTTCTCAC